ACACATTTTTTAAACGGTTATAAATTAAAAACGGTAAGAGATCTTCCCCACCTTCCAATCTGGGTAAATTAAGAGCGATTGACTTATCCTAAATAATTCTTACACCATCTCCCCGACAAACATGTACGCTTTTTCGGACCAAAAATAGGTTGTATACCTACTGTACTGTGATTCATTAATGTAAAACTACTGTAAAAACTTCATGGACGTTTATCTATGTGTTTTTTGGACAATTACTTGGGCTCCAACTTTAGTCGTCTTGAATCTTCTGAACTGATTTATATAATTTCCCCAGCAATCTAATCTTAAAAATATATACATAGGGTATGACAATCTAGGTTCCTGAAATTTAATTTACGATGAAACTTAAAAAAGCTCATAAAAAACGTTTTGGGGTGTATAATTCCGGATTGCATATTTACTAATAACGTAAATACATTACAGTAGAGTAAAACTACATTTAGTATGATTCATAAAAATATACCACCGAACAATAACTTATAGGCACTTAAAAACGTAAACGTTTCATTGACAGTTTTTGGAAAGAGATCCATCTGTTAGCCCAAAGTACCAGGGGACCGAGCATATTTCTTGGTGTTTGAGAGGTTAAATAACAAAGGCCTACGATATATCTACGATTTCCATAATTATAAAATACAGTATAAAATATGTTGCAATAACCCCACCACAGCTAACATGCACACTAAATAAATTTATATTTGCCTGATTGGATTATCACTAAAATAAATTCTTCTTAAAATGTTACTGATTAACAAATAATCAAAAATAGTATAATATGAAATAAACAACTTTTCCATTTTTTTCGTTCGTAAATGTCAAATTAAGTCGTTACGGTGTTTTAATTTTTACTACGCACTCAGTCTTAAATGTGTTTTCGCTACACTAATGTGAAATGACCTGTTTTCGTCGTAAGTTTATTACCTGTGAAAATCCATCATTACATTCTTTACTACAGAAAAATAATGTTTACTGTGCGAAAGTAATGTTGACTATCTTTTTGGATTTCACCGACGTAAACAAACAAAGATTTGTTATTGTTTTGTCAACTATTTTAATTTTCACGACCAAAACTGTAAACCCAAAGTAAATATTAACTTGACATTTAAGGCATCGCCTAAAATAAAGAAATATCCAATGTCTGTTTTAATTAAGAAAATAATATTAGTCTTTGTAGTGTAGTGTTTGTAGTTTTTTGTATTGTTCAAAGCACTAGTGAAAGTTGGGTTATACATATTCTCGACCATTTATAATCTCGATAAATCTCGCACCTCAAACATGGTCTAAAAATATGTAATGACTCACTTTCTAATCTTGTTATGTAATATACTATTAAGTTCTTGTGTTCGCACCTTAATTAAGTACTCGTGTATTACCTATACTATTTTGTATGTCGGCCGTAGTTCATTAACGGTTGTAATTTTACGCCAGCTGCTTTATGATAATGTAATAATTATTAGGTTCTGAAAAACACCATAGTAATAGCATTTAAATTTGGAAGAAAGATTACAGTCTTATTAGTTACAAGTTACAATAAATTACTTTAATGTGTTCAATTGTTATGAAATTAAGACTAAATTGCTTTATTGTGGCTGTTATTTAAAATTGGTGAATCCTGTAGATTATACACAGACTTCTAAACATACTGCAGATTTTACTAGCATAACATTATTTTTTAATGCTCATACTGATAAATACTTTTATGACAGCTACTACTAGCAATAAATGCTGTGTAGCTTTATATTTATATGCTTTCCGCCTGTTGTAGGAATATTTTCTTTCGCATTATTACGGGTAAATAATAGCTTGGTACCTTGCCGATGGTTAGGGCAGTATTATTACTTCGAATTGTCTAGTAGAATTTCAATAACGAGGGATCTGATTTAATTTTTAAACTAAACTATATACACTGCTATTTGAACAATATTGTCGCGTATCCATTCTCACAGGAGGAGGAGAGGGGGTCAGTGCCTACGTCAGAACCCCCTCCATGGTAGTAGTAGAAGGGTAACTTTCACCCCGACGCCGACGTCTCATTTCCTTGCTCAGCCACGTTCCTTGTCGGTTCATACTCCTGCTTGGTTCTTCCTTTGCTTTAGAAAATTCTTTGTTTTTCTCAAGTTTAGCTGACTTTTGTTGGATTTAAGTCTTCAGTGCTGTTGTGTAGCATTTGAGACTACTGAGTGGTTTTTATTGGAAATTTATTGGTTTTTTTCGTCCGTCAGTTATTGTTTTATAGTTTGGAGTTTTCACTGACTGTTTGAACAACTTGTTGTTAGAGAGTTGATTAGTTGTTTAACAGTAAATAGAAGTAGAAATCAAATATTGTGTGGTTTTTACTGTAGATTTAAGTTTTTTTGGTCAGCTAGTACGTGTTGCCATCGTTTTATTAGTTCTTATTTATACTTTGGTTTACTGACTACTACAAAAATTAGTAGCCAGTAGTCTTATTTCTTGTTGTTAGTTAATAATTTAGTAGGTTTAGTTTTTGAGTAGCTGGCTTGTATAGCTGGCACCATTTATAGATTTAGTAGTCAGTGGTCTCATTTCTTGTCAGGTGAAAATCGAGTACTTAAGTTTTTGAGTACCTGAATTTTATTTCCACCATTTATATTTACATTCCCTAACGGCTTTTAGTTGTTTTTGTCGCTGGTGCCGTACAGTATAAGTGGTTTTGGTTTTAGTTTTTCACCGTATAATCCCAGGGATTTTTTTAGCTTAATCCTGAGTAGGTAACATCTTTATTGAGCCTACCTTTTGTTTAGTAGGCTAAGTTAATTTGGTTTTTTAAGACTGGTTGTGTTATTAGTTACTTTGTACCTGCTTAGGGACTCTTTGTAGTGCTTTACTTAGACGCAAAAACTTCTGCGTTTAATTGTTGTTTATACAGTTTGTCTCTTAGTTCAATTATCGTGTTAAATTCCGGAGTTATTAAGTATAACATGGCATATACTTGTGTTGCCAGTGGATCGTTTCATCAAGGGGATTCGAGGTTTACTTACAGCAGAAACGCCCAATGTGTGGCAAACTCAGCCTGTGCCATCGCTTGGAAGTCTCTGGGGAAAGAATTCTCTACTTTTGCCATTGATTCCATACTCTTAAGTGGTGATGCATTGTATAGGTCATTACGTAATGAGGGTTGTGTTGGTGGCAATAGGTTTTTGTTCCCTGATGAAATTCCACACGAGTTTACGGTTGCTGGAAATGAAGTTCGTGTTGATATTTCTTATGTATATGATGCTTTGTACCCAGTAACTCGTGATTTATTAGATGATAGCATCGCAGAGCTCGCCTGTGAGTTAGAGCTATTGTTTGTAGGAGCTACTGTGAATGTCGGGTTTTTATTTACTGGGTTGAACGTGACTGTTGGCTTTTGGCACAGCCAAGATAAATACTTTTTGTTTGATCCAATGCAGTAAATGAACATCGTCAGCATGACATCAGTATCAGGGGCAACAACTTGGCTCGACTGTTTGCGTGTGATAGCTACATATCTTTAGCGTCCCTACTGCTATGTAACGTAGTGTATGAAGCCAATGCACATCAATATTCGATAACACAATTGAAATTCGATAGCCATGTCGCATCCGCTTCGCTTGACTTTGTGTTCAACCCTGTTATCACACCACTCCCCAGTTTGAATTTTACTCCTACCCACATTGTCCTAGCCCTGAATTTCTAATTCTTAACGATTCTATCAACGAATCACTTTCACAGTGCCCCAGTCCTGATTTCCTCCAAGATCCAAATTGAATACCCTATATCCAGTTGTAGTGATTTCTCCTTTGAGAAAGTTTAAATCCCTCCCCAATCTCGAAACTCCCCGAAAAGGACCCGGAAGGCCAAAAAAAATTGAAACGTGGGCGTCCTAAAGTTTTAAACACGACTAAGGACGAACAAATTGCTGCCGCAAAGAAGAAATATACGGATAATCACCCGGACAAAAATGTAGACGATGCTCGCCGTCACCGAGAAACCCACCCTGATTCTCATAGGGAGGCTGTCCGTATATACAGCCAATCTCATCCAGAAGTGAATAGGGAGGCTGTAGGGCGCTACAGCCAAACTCATCCTGAAGTGAATAGGGAGGCTGTAGGGCGCTACAGCCAAACTCACCCTGAGGTTAACAGGGAGGCTGTACAGCGATACAGCCAAACTCATCCCGAGGTAAATAGGGAAGCTGTTGGAAGATACAGTCAAAAGAATCCAGACGCCTCTCGGCAAAGGGTAGCCATTTTCCGTCTGAAAAATCCTATGCTTTCTGAGCTTCGTCATTTGCCAGCAGCACTTGCTAGACATATTTTTCATCACGGTCCAATGGGTTCTTGGGAGGGGAGTTGCTGAACAATATTCCTGCTTTTAATCTCAACAAAATTAGCCTTTGGGATGATAGTATTTTCAAGTGTTCTTACTGTGGTGCTCGACTATTTGAAGAGGAAAAGGGTAGAAAGAAGTGGTGTTGTGGTCAAGGGGCAAACAACGTTCTTAATCTACAGCCTCTTCAGGAATCGTTCTACTCAGATCGCCGTTTTCTCGATAGGGCTCGTGCTTACAACGACATGTTTGCGTTTTGTGCATTAGAACTATCTGGTGGGTACAGGCATCCAAGTGGTCTTTCATTTTTCAAAATTGAAGGGAGAATGTACCACCAGGTTTACAATCTGTCCGACTCTGGTCAAAAGTTACTACTAAGGCTGGGGACGTTCAGTTTGTAAATCGTTCTCGCATGTACATCGATGACGGTGAAGAACGTCGGAATATTGCCTTGGGTAGATCTCTCGACGGTGGCATAATTGACTTAATTACGCGATTTTTGTCACAGGAAAATCCGTACATTGTTCACTATCGGCGTTTAGGTAGTGAACCTGCAGTCAAC